GAACCCACGTATGTGTTGATTACTCAAAAATCCGTCATTTCTAAGAAAACCCCATAAAATAGAATAACATGTTCGATCCTAACTTAAAATTTATTGATTTTTTTTTATTTCTTGATTCTAAAAAAAAACTTTTGACAAGACAATAAAAGCTCAGAGATAAATTTAACTTGAAGAATCGGGAAAAATGAGGCCGTTTTGCTCCCATTTCATCTTTTCCACATCACAAGATTAAAATCCTTTTGAATTTAGCCTCCATACTTCAAATATTTTAATAATAAAGCAACTTTTTCAACAAATATAAGATCATACACCTGTGCAACCGACAAATCACAAAAAAAAAAAAAGAACGAAATCACTACTAAGAAAAATAAAATCACCTATTTAAACCAATACTTATGGTATCACAGTCGGGGAATCTTTAGTAACACACCAAAGTCACAAGCAAAATGGACAATCTGCTTCTCGGATAAAAGCGACATACCATTAAATTCACACCACGAATTCCAATACCGGCCACGCTAACGGACAGAATGCTACCACAAGTTAGGCGCAGCTAAGCATTTCTCCAATTTAAGGTTGCAAAACTTTCACTGGCACCCACCGCCTGTCCAAGCGGTCGTATACAATCTCGCTAGTACCATTCACTAATGCACGTTTATTCAGTGCCAGAATAATCGGCCAGTGCACCGACTGCCGGTGCGAAGACACGTTTTTTGCACAGTTCCCCGCAGGTTTTTGTCGCTAACGGCACTGTTTTTTTGGACAGACACTTCTAATTAAAAGAACTGAGACTAGCCATCACAATTCTGAGAAAACATTCCCTTAAAGCTTCAGCTTTCCAGCTTTTCTGGTTCCCAAGTTAACAGCGAACTCACCAAAAATTTCACAGGCCCATACGTGGGAACCACGCACATCTAGAGGCTTGGTTTGAACTCATCAAGCTCCGTAAGGGCGGAGAACACCCCCTTGAGAGTCCAGTTTTCTGCCTTTCCAAGTTCCCGAGTTAGCAAATTACCTGCATGAAATTTTCATGCGCTGGTGCGTGAGAGCGAAGTATGTGTGGAGGCAGCGTTTGAAGGCATCTGAACATACCTCGACAAGGAATATCCCCTTAAAAAATTCCAGCTTTCTAGCTTCTCAGGTTCTCGAGTTAGCAACTTATCCGCAAACCTTCACAGGCATGTATGTGGAAACCACATGAGCAAGAGTGTCCATTTTCGTATGGTCGACGCAATGCCATCAAAAACATAATGTGAAAAAATGAAAAAACTCATGAGTTAGAGGAAATATTTTTATTGAAACCACATAATAAGTGGCTTTTTAAATTTACTGATGAACAGCAGTGCGTTAAAAATTTTATGCAACATTTCTCAACAAATAACAATTAAATCGAAAACAATCTCAAAAATTCTCACAACTTTCACCCACTGAAAGTAACTGAGGCATACATTTGTGATCCTCAACATCATTATACTCAATAATAAGTGATCATTAAAGAGGCAAAAAAAGAAATCACTCACCCAAGACAGCAGGGCGAGTCTTTTGCACCCGAAGCACTGAGAGCTCTATTTCAGTCTTAACGATTTATGAACATCCATAAACATTAAATGTCCGGTAAAATTTTTTGGAATAACCTCAATCTTAGGGCAAAAAAATGAGGACAATCCTTCCCGAAATGTATTGAAATGCGGAGCATCAATAGAAAAATGACGAACAGCGGTCATCAGGTGCCCTAAATTCATGGGTTATAAAGCGATTATTCCTAAGATGACCAGTGAAAGCCGGATTTTAACTGATGCCGCTGTGAAATGGGAAATCCAATTATCGACGAATTATGGGCAGCCCCGTTAGGCCTACCGGGAAAAAAAGGAATTTAATGCATCAAATCTAAAATGGATGAGCAGGAAAGAGGTCATTTTGAAACTTCTTCCAGTTATATGCATAATCCTGAAGTATCCATTTTCCGTAATTTTTTAATATCTTCCATAAAAATTTTTTTTTGGGAAAAAAAGTTTGCACTAAGAATTACAGAACTTCTAAATACAACTGAAAAGAAAAAAATTTATAATCTAAGTACAGTTTTTACGTTAATATAACCGTAATCTACGGTTTTTTGGTGTTAAAAAAAATGTAAATATAACCCCTACAGCTTTTAAAAAATCAGCTTTTTTCTGAAATTTTTATCGGCAAACGATAACCGCCACAAATTTTAAAAATCAGTTCCTTGTTAACTGTTTCTGGTGCAAAGAAGCAGAAAATCTCTTCTGGAGATGGAAAAAACACAAACAGGATGAGGTACTGGTCAATGAAAATGAAAAAAATCGACAGCTACATAGCTGGAGACTCAATTCTCCATCACAATTGATTACAGTATCAAAATAAAGTATTTCTGGAGCAGTTTTCAAAGAAAAAAGCTGTAAACTGCCCATTCTGCAGGAAAATTAGCCGCTCGTAATATCTCTACTGGGACAAGGCGCAAAACAGGCGTAATTTGGTCTAATTTTACCACTTTTATTAATAACGTGCAAATGAGTTTATTTTACTATTTATTTATTAAAATAATTTTACTACTTTTACTAATTTCTTAATATTATTTTTTCTTCTTTCTTCTTCCTACTTCAAAATACCTTTCTATTTAATTTTTGAAAGCGTTTACTTTTTTTTTGAAATTTTAATAATACTAAGTTCTAAACAAATTATGCACTTTCCTCAGTATATGTAAGAGCAAATACTGTGATAACATTTCGAGCATCCCCGATTTTCCACCATCTGCCACGTTTGTGTTCTTGGCCAACAGCGCAAACAACTTCCTCACCATCATCCGAAAATTTCAGACAGTTGATGAATCCGGTCTAAAAATCACACAACCAAATACTTTTTGACAAATCAAAGAGCACATTTTACCAATTAATAATTCAAAGAATAGGGTACTAGAAAAGGTAGAAGGGGCCATGGAGGCCCAATCAAGAAGTAGGAATGTCAGGGTTGTAGTAGACGAGTGGTAGTAATAAAAACCTCAGTACCATGCGTGTCAGTATAAAATATGTAGGTCAAAAACTTCTTATGAAGTTGTAAATATCTAGAGGTGTTAAAATAACGTAAGGGGAAAAAGGACGGTCCAGATGGGGCGGCCGAGCCGGATGAAATTGGGAAAATTTTTTTTCGGCCTTTGATAGGCCGAACCCAATGAAGCCTGGAAGATTTGAGTAAATCTGACTAACGTGAAAATAGCCACAACAACGAAAGGCCCAGCAATTCTTATGAAAACTATTAAAAGCCCAGTAGAACGATCGCTCCAGTAAGCTGGTGGACATTTCAGGTGGACATTTGGTGGACATTTCAGGTAAACAAGTGGACATTTTGTAAAAACGACAGCTATTGCTGGAGATAAAAGCTCAGAATCGAAGGACCTGACAAGGCCGCGTTCGGCGCTTAATAAAGTCATTAATTTAGGGTCATCAAAGCGATTATCAGGGCCGTTTTCATCCTCTTGATATTCTTCTGCAACTGTCGAACAATAATGCCATTTTTCTTGAAAAGACAAAAACAAGAAGGAATTAAAAAAAGAATTAATTTAGTCGAAAAAAGCCAAGACTTAGCGAAAAATTACAAAAAACGAGGCCATCAAAAAAAAATTAGGTGGAGCCTTATTTCAGGGAAAAAAAACCCAAACTATGCAATAACAAAATGCTCACATGTCTTAATTTGTTAAGCGAAAAACTACGGTTCCAAATCCATTAGTACTATTATTACTTAAGCGCGACATGTGTCCAATTACTACAGCTAAGGAGCCCGACTTGTCAATTAATAAAATAGTTTTCAGAATCATGAAATAACACGTTTTTAACGTAAAATTTTCATAAGACAATACTTTTCACAACGAAGAAATAACAAGTTTTTAACGTAGATTTCATAAGAAAATAGCTTTCATAATCATGAAATAACACGTCTTTAACGCGTTATTTCATGATTCTCAAAATTTCTGATTCTCAAAAAAAAAAAAAAAAAAATTCTCAAAACAATACCCCTCCCGTCCTATGAGAAATGCAGGCATCCAGAAATAGCTCCTGCGTTTGTAAGTTTCAAAAATAATCACTCTTCTAGACTATTTTTAGTGGTGCTACCAAGAAGCAAGCGATTTTGAATTTCTTGGTATGTGCCAATGCAAGTACCAATTCACCATCGAAACTGACGGAATCGAATCTGGGAGCATCTGCACGTCAGAATATGCAAATTTCTTAACAAGGAGACCAAACTTAATGGACCGAAACGTCTTATCTCATTCTTTTCTGGTTTCCTTATCCGATATAACTTCAAACTTTGGCATCCAAGGTCAACCTAGATGCTGCAATCGGCTTACCTGCGGATAGGAAAGTACATTTGTGATTGATTTATAATCTTCGGCAATTTTCCACAGGCGAACAAATCCATCGCATGAACCCGATGCAATCAGATCTGTGTAACGTCGTGCTGCAACCGATACTATCCAGTTGGGCTGATTGTCGTGACCGCAGCCGTGTGCTTCCTTTTGTAAACATACTGGTTTCTTTTTGAAAATTGACCAAACACACAGACTTCTGGAAATATTCAAAAAAAAATTTTTTTCCATATAAAAATTACAGTGAAATGAGTTATTTGAAAAAAAAAAAAAAACCAAGCCAGAAATATGATGAGAATAAGAGAAAACAGATGGACAACTGGCACAAATGAGAGAAAACAGACAGAAAATGTGGATGGCTGAATGGGAACAGTAACCAGTGACCACTAAGAAGCCATCAGCACCGTGGAAAAATCCAAATGCACGCTTCTGTAAAATTTCATGAATGCGGCGAGCTCAAAT